AGCTATGGAGGAAAGTAAAGCAATACTCTGGAGGCCATTACTGGGGCAGGGAGGGCAGAAGGCTAGTGTTTCATAGAGGGTTGTCAGGGAAGGAGGTATTTATGGAGATACTTGATGGAAAGGAGCGAGCCCTGACTCTCTGGGGGAAGAACTTTCCGGCGAGAGGTAAATGCAAGGGCCAGTGCAAGGACTTTGGCCTTTTTCCGACTGAGGCAGAGAGGTGAGACAAGGGAGGCAGGGCCAGGCTATCCACTTAAAGGGATCCCTTTGGCTGAAGTGATAAAAGAGGAAGGCGGCAGGGTTTGTGACAAATAAAGGGTGTAGAGAAAGAAGGAGCAAGGACTACTCCAAGGTCTTTGGCCTGAGCAACCAGATGACGAAGCTGGTCATTTTCTGAGCTGGGAGGGGCTCTCTCTCCGCCTAAGGTTCTTCATCTGCTAAGTGGAGAACAGTAACACCGGCCCCCTTCAGCTGTAGTGCAAAGGGAATGAAAAGCACATGAGGTTAGGGCTCAGGAAATGGTGGCTCTTGTCATGTTAGCTCTTTCTGGATCTTTCTTTCATGCATCTATTGAAAACCCAGCCATGTTTATAGCCAGCCAACTATCAATCTACATCTAGGATGTAATCCTCAAAAGCATCGTATTTGAGAGGAAGCTCATTCTCCATGCCCAGTTTGTTTTGGAGCCTCTCCGCCCTGAAGGTCGGATGATAAGCCGCTGGTGCTCTCCGGTTTAGTTTCTTTTAAAATACTTGTTGTGCTGATTGTATGTGGAAGGTTCGTTGTTATTTTGGTGGATAAACAGTTGCCATCGTGTCGCTATTAGCTCCAGTCTCATGTGACAGGGTACCCTGAGGAGTTCAGGCTCTGGCTCTAGGGATCAGAGAAGATAAGAGTTCAGGATAAAGGAGTCATCTCGGCTAGACCTTGAAAGACAAGTAAAATTTCAGAAGTGGGAGGAGATGAAGAGGAAGGCCGTGGGGTATGGAAGTACATGGCCTATTTGGTGAGCGGCCGTGAAAACCCATCCCAAGATGCTTATACTCTATAATTTCTGCCAGTTACCAAGGGGGATCCATCGATGGTCTCTCACTAGGGAGGAACCTGGGCAGGGACTTTACCCTGGCGGCACAGAAAGCAGAGTATAGGCCAGTTAAAGGCAAGAACAGAGAGCAGGTGGGGCGCTCGGAAAACGAGGGATCCCGGCATCCTGTGTGCTCGTCAGAATCACCCTAAGAACAATGTCTTCAAAGTATGGGTTTTTTAAAGCCCCGTCCATAAACGTACTATAAGGAGGCTCAAAATAGTTTGTTTTTAACAAGTTGCCATGATGATTTTCCTGTAGCCACTGATACCATTAAGTAATTTAACATTGTGGTAGAGAGGATGACCCATCACAGTAGTCCAAGAGACAGAGGAAAAAGGTATCGATTTGAGTCCCGTGAGGAAGATACTAGAAGGACGTTGGTCATCTTAGATGTTGAGGGTGAGGGAGGTTTTGAAGAGAAAGCCTGTTGTTTAATTTCTTACCTCCTACCTCTAGGTTTTCCAGTATGAAATATTGGAAACAAAACAACTGGACACGTAATAGAAACTTTGAAGAACAAAAGGAAGTAAGAATCAGGTAGGACGCTTACACACAGCTACTAAAGAAAACGACCCTGTTCTAGAAAGCACAGTTTTTCAACCTCAGCACCACTGCCATGTGGGGCTATAGAAGCCTTTGTTGTGGGCACCGTGCTGTGCATTTTAGGATGTGGAGCAGCATGCCTGGCCTCCACCCACACCAGGTGCCCATGGCAAGCCCCCTCCCCTACGTGTGACAACTAAAAGTGTCCTGAGACGTTGCCAAATGTCCCCTTGAGGGCAGACTTGCCCCTCATTGAGAATTACTGCTCTAAACACATACCTCTTCACTCTTAGTAGACGTTTTAAAATCAGGAACGTTTAAACATCTAAAGCTTCTCAAGATTCAATGTGAATTGCTTACATTTGCAAACCACAAAAAGCCCCCGGGGCAAGTCACTGCCTTTGGTGCTAAGAGGACATTGCACACAGTGTCAGGAGCCTTAATACTTAAATAGGGAGAAATGATTTAGCACATTTAGCAGGGTGGAGGTAATAAAACTCAGAATTGAATTAGGGAAAATTGAGGCAGGATGACAGAGAGTCAGTTATATTGTCCCACAGAGCAGTGGCTGCCTCCTCTCTGGGGATCCTGACAACTCTACCGGCGGAACAAACTCAATGCCAACCTTCCTGGTTAGGCAATTGTCTCCTCTCGCATTCCTGTCTTCATCTAAGGCTATTAATATCTCAAGTTGACTGCTAACTCTGTCACATTTGCACCTAAGTGGAAGTGGAAAAGAAAATTCGGACCTAGATGGCTTACCGCAGATAATCTTATTTTTTAGCCTTTCTGTGTTTTGATGCTGCTGTGCATCAACTGTTCAGGACAATGGCAACTATTTTGTTCTATAGTTAATACCCGCCTCGAGGGAGGTAATTGTTCTACCTTTATAGGACTGCTGTCTCACCTGGGGTGTAAGGTCCAGTGTCGATTTTAAGGTGCAGCTTCTGTGAGTACCAAGCGCTTCACTGAAGCCAGTCACAGCTCCACAAATGAAGTTACTCTATGTGCAGAAGCTCCATAAAAGACATAAAATGTTTTATATAGTTCAAGTCACACTGTCTTGGATTAATAAAGGAAACAAAGTTTTATGACTTAGAGATTATTCTCCAGTGCTGTATCACTTAAAAAAAAAAAAAAATGTAGCTACGTATCATGAGGGCTGGCGGAACTGTATTGCTTCTACAGCTTCCCAAGTGCTAAATGAAACGTCACTACCGTTCAGGATGCAGCCTGAGCAAACTTCTAACCCCCAGCACATAGAGCCAAAATGGCCCTCAAGGTTTGCTTCCTGCAGCTGCCCTCGCTCTCGGCACATCAACAGAGAGGGAGCTGCTGCAGCAGGGGACCCCTTAGACACATTCATTTCTGGAACACAGCTGGCTGGCAATTTATATGTAAGAGTCAATACAAGAATAATCTTGCAAAGTGTAATTTCCTAGTTGACAAGAAACACGTTGAAGGACATTTTTTTTTTTTTTTTCAATCGTTGATGGATTTAAGACCCTGGCTCCTTGGCCACTCCAAGATTTTGATTTAGGAGGGGGTGAGGGAAGAAGGGCTGAAAGGGGCGCATTGGGAAAGGATGGTGGAATCATCTTAAGGCGGGATTTGCTTAACAAGCACACTCGGGTTTACACAGGTTGGAAGTGTATGGGGAGTTGGTTAGAAGGAGAGCTGATAAAAAGGCTGGCAGTGCTAACCTCCTTCCCCGTCCAGCAACCTCCCCGAGCTTCTACTGCCCTGGACATAAAAGCCTAGATCAGGTCATTTAACCTGATAGTTATGCTGTCACTAACAAGGACACGTTAGTTGATCGTTGCAATTAATGTTACAATGGTCTTGATTTTGAAATTATTTTACCTAGATAACGAGGAACTAATCAAATCACTGACTATATACTATTGGTAATTTGGGGTAGGACAAAGACCAGCTAAAATCTACATTTAAAATGTATTATAAAACCTTGTTCTATAATAGTCTGTTGTAGATGTAACCTTTTATTCATGACATACTTAAAATCTCGTGTATTATAATACCCCACGTACACACACATAGGAGGAGAACTCACCTTCTCATGACCTCAGGGGTTGAAAATGATTGAGAGCTCGAGTAATTCCAAATACTCATAAAGGGGAAACTGTAAGCAAGATGAGAAACGCTTCAAGAGATGTTATACCTCCTCAGGGGCCACAGCTGACACAGCAACCAGAACTAAACAGTCATCCCATTCCAGTGTGCCTAGCTCATTAGAATGACCTGTTTTATGAATATTTCCATTCAAGCAATAGTCGCGGAGACATGCAGCTGGCTCTGGGACGATTATGGGTAAGCAAAGCAGCGAGGGGCCCTGACTTCACAGCTCTCCTCCTAGACAGAAAGCTGTCAGTATGAAGCCAGTAAGTATAGCGCTCCCTGTAAAATGTAACTATAGTACCGTGCTAGAGATACAGGGAGCGTGAATCCTACCAGTGAAGGATTCCCTGAAGCAATAATGGTGAACTAGAAAAGAAAGGCGGAAGGCACATTCCTTTGCAACTGTAAAGGCACCACAGGAAGAAGGACTAGACAGAAGGCCGAGACGGTTGGAGCAGAAAGAATGAAGGGAGGGAGGTAGTTTGCCAGGTTATTTACCTAGGGCCAGACAAGCACAGGCTAGCTAAGGAACCCAGAGAAGCCACTGAAAAATGGGGAGGTGGCCTAGCTTAGCGGATCTGCAATTCGCAAAAACGACTAGGGTCATCCTGTGGAGAACAGATTGGGAGGGAATCAAGAGCGGATGTGAGGCCGCAACCTCAGTCATCCAGATGAGACACAATGGCGGACCTCACGGGGATTGTAACTATGGGACGCAGAAGCGTGGAGGGATTTGGGAGTCACGATCCCAAAGACAAAATAATAGACTGGACAGGGAGAGATGAGGAAGAAGTTAAATTTCTGGCTCAAGAACCAGGTGGAAAATGGAGTCTTTCAGAGCCAGAAAGAGGATGATCTGGGGAGGAAACTATTGACTCGCAAGGCTTGAATTAGAGTCTTCAACCATTAAATCTCCTCTTAGGCAGTAGGTCTTTCTGTTTCAGTAAATCATCTGGAGGTGGATTCCTGCCATACTGTTTTGATACACGGGACTGTCAACTCTGAAACCTTTACTTGAAAGCGGCCCGTGAAGGAGCTGAACTGAATTCAGTAGCCCTGCCTAAAAGAATGCGTTTCCCCACCAAATCACTGCTCTGTAAAATCTGAAACTAAGGGTGATGCTGAGAAATGGGCTTTTCAAAGGGCCAAAGTCACAGAGGGGCCCTGCCCAAGCAGGTTTATCAACAAGAAAGACCGCTGTCCTCTTGACGGCAGGCCGAAATGAAGGGGGGGAGACCCCACAGGTAATGGTATACTGAGGTTGTAGATTACTGTTGGGTTTTGTCTATACTTGCCTTTGTAGTTTTGACTTTATTGCCACTGCTACAGGACCAACCTGAGTGATCTGGCAGCTCTTTGCAATCCTCTCCTTCCAAGCAAGGATTCATGTGACACCACCATTTCTGAATCACAACGGAAGCTGGAAGACAAAGCCAAATAATATTTGGGACACTGTTTCTTCCTCCAAATACAGGTAACATAAAGCTCACCATTGGTGAGTACACTGGCTTCCAAGATGGCTTATGGTGAAATCTTGTGAGTACAGAATCCAATCAGCCGTATACTGTACAGAAACAAACAGTTTCTTTTTATGCAGTTGGCTAACCGAGGAGGATGTAGTTAGTGAGGTCTCGCACTGTGCAGCACGCCCGCCCGGGTTTGAATTTGGCTGTGCTACCTTTTTTGAAGGACCTCGGACTAGCTTTTTTACCCTCAGCTTCAGTTTCTTCATCTGTACGATGGGAATAAAAACAGAGCCTTGCCAGAAGGTGGCAAGGGCATAAAGGCAATCCGTGTGGAAGTCTTGGCTGACTGTGGACCAGTCACTGTGTGGTCAGAAAATGTTCACCATTATCGTGGTCTCCGTCTCTGGTTGCAGGTTACAGTGGTGGACGCGGATACCGCGGTTGTGTTTCATACTCTTTGTTTTCAACAGCAAAGACTAAGCACAGTCAACATTTTCAGCACACAGGGTGCCTCATCTCTCCACGCCATTCCAGCAAGGTGAGTAACCACTTGAGTCAACTACTAGACGCACGTTAAGATGGGAGGGGCGGGCCACCCCCTCACATGCCTACATTCTCGACTAGTCAGTTAGCTTACCTGTGAATTCCCTTTCCTCTTCATCTCACTATCCCCACAGCAGTCTGCCAATAAAATGACTGATGTCTTAAGCCCCTGAATCAGAAACTAGTACCCCAGATCTCTGGGTTTGCAGGCAGACGAAGAGAAGTTAAGGAAAAACCATCACCTTGATGGTTATTCCCGTAGATTTCAAAGGACGAAAAAGATTGTGATTGATTTTTAAAGGTGAACCCCCACCCTGCAGGCTGGTATAGGACAAAGCTCCAGAGCTGGGGATAGTATGTGTGGATTGGGGGTGGAGGTAGGTGAGCCTTGTTTTTTCTCTTTTTTCTTTTTTTTGGGTCGAAACAGTAACACGTTGACTAAAAAAAAAAAAAACAATTATACCCCAATGGATTTTACCACTGCCTCAGAAGTCTGAAACTAAAGTTCAAGAAAAAGCAGGCATCCACAGGCCCACCTTGGAGAACTCCAGACCACCACCCTAAAGTAAGTGACACCAATTTTATGACTTCCCAGTGCCTAGAAAAGTTAGGTTTACACTACACTGTAGTCTATTAAAGGTGCAATATCCTTATATCTAAAAAAAAATTTGGTGTACCTACTGTAATTAATTATTTTATTGCTCAAAATTGCTAACCATCACCTGAGCATTTAGCGAGTCATATTCTTTTTGCCAGTGGAGGGTTTGAAATACCGCAAGAACTGCCACAATGTGACACAAATACACAAAGTAAGCAAAGGCGGTTGGAAAAGTGGCACTGATAGACCACTGCCTCAAACCATCAGTCTGTAAAAACGCAGTATCTGAAGTACAATGAAATGAGGTATGACTGTAAATCCTAAGAGCTACTTTTTCTCGAGTGCAGGACACATCGCCAGATGTCCTGCCTGCATTTGCTAATTTCAAATTCGCTACAACTCTGAGGTTCAAGGTGGCTATTTCTTTTTTCTGCATTTTACAGAGAGGAGAAAACTGAGGTCTGGTGGTATTAAATGAGTTGCCCAGAGTCACCCTTTTTCCATTTTCCAAGTAGCCAAGCAGCATTTGAACAGAGGCAGTCTAACACTGCTGCCAACACTTAATACGTACCCACTCCCTCCCAGCAGAGATCTCTACTAGAGGCAATGACAAAAGTAGGTAACGGAGGAAGCCAGCGCATTCAAAACTCTTCTCCTGTCAGGCAAACGCGATGTGGCGGGATGAGGGTGTAGGATTGTTCCATTATTGGCTGAAGTAACCAGATACTGTATTTTCTCCACATGCAGCCACCGTTCCAGATTTGGCCAAATACTGAGCTATGTGTCCAACGAGTCCCATCCAAACCAACAGTACATGAGTCAGGCAGATTTGTGATCTAGAATAACCAAGTGCTATTTAAATCAGGAAGTGCCAACACTGAGAAAGGCACGTAGCTAAATGGGTTATTTATTTTGTCAGAGACTGACACTGCACTTGAGTGGACGGACACACTGGGGCCATGCCTGACCAAGTTACATTCTTTTCAGCCCCCGACATCACAACGGTTTCACCTTAAAATCGTACGGAGCTGTGTCATTTTCAAAGCACTTTTATGTACTGTTCCCTTGTGATGGTCCCAAGAACCTTCAGAAGCAAGAAGGGGAGGCAGAGGGTTCCAGATCCAAAAACCAGAGCTTGCCACAAAGTGAGTAATACTTGAAGCGAGACTCTGTATCCATCGGTCTTTCTACTTGTACCACAATTTGCAGTAATCGTTTAGATTAATAAGTGCTACACAAAACTGACCATCTTCAAAGAGCCGACCAGTCATTGATTATTTTCTGAGTACCTTAGTTTGGTCCCAAGTAGATATGTAGATATAAAGATAAACAAGAGGTGATTCCCAGCCCTCAACTGAAAATGCCATCTGCAGGACTGGAAAAGTTATCTGAACGTTGCCAGAGCTTAGTTATATTTGCACAGAGTTAAAAGTGAATCTGAGGTACTTTTTAAAAAGGTTTTAAAACTGTTCCTTAGACAAACTTTCTTCCACTCAGCAGTGGAAACCTATGTACTCTTGACAGGTATCAGAGCTACATGGATGATTCAAAAAGAAGCTTTGACAGATGGCTAGTGATCTGTCCAGGTGAAGGCGGGGGGGGGGGCAGTGAACGGCCACCTGGAAGCCAGGAGACCCACGTGGCTCAAGTGAGGGGTCAGCAGGGAAACAGTGGGCGTTCACCTGAGAAAGGTGGTCTGGGAAGCAAACTTTAGGGACTGTCAAGGACAATCCAGGACTTGATTCTCTAAGCAGTGGGAAGCCATGGAAAGTTTCTCAGCACGGTAGTGCAACAAGCCAGGAAAACCTATGTCCCTAGAAGGGTGAGTCTGGCAGGGACGATGAAAGAATTTAGAACAAAAAGGTGCCTGACAGGGAAGACCAACTGAGGTGTGAGTGAGGGGAGAAATCGGGGAATAAAACTCCCCGCAGAGGAAACAGATTGAATCCGATATTATCTCAGCTTCACAGCGGAGAAACGCTAGTACCTTCTCACTGGACTCAGGGGAATCTGAAATAATCCTGATGCCGAATCTAGAAAAGGAGCTTGAGGTGGGGAAAATGATGGCTTCAGGCTTTCAGCACAGTCTCAACTACAGCATTGCCTAGTATTTTGTTTAAGGATTTAAGTGTAATAATGTATTTAAATAAATACAAGAAGGAAGCATACGCAGTCAAGCCCTTTGGAAACTCTTTACCACTGTCCTCTCATTTCGTTGGGAAATACGGAGCGATGGAGACAGATTCACAATAGACTCCTTAAAACAGCAGGCTGCCCTGGAATTTCAAATATTTCTAGTTGCAAAAGAGAGACATCGTGTTCACATTTGATAGAATACATTGAGTGAGGAGCCCTAGAAGTAGACACTTTATCCAGATAAAGCTTCCTTGTGAAAGACTTAATCGCAAATGTTCTTTCAGAAAAGGAGACATGATAAGAGCCATCCCGGTAGCCAAAATACAAGTTTCAAATTCCTTTATGAGTTAAGGATTGATTAAGGAACTCGCAGCTAAACTGAAAACCAACAGAGGGTTTGACCCGACAATGACTACGGTGATAAACAAACAGCCCGGATGTTTCAGCTCTGAGTGCATACGGAGTAGGGCTATGAGCTGAGACAAAAGACTCAGAAGTAGGGTTCTATTAAAATAACCCTTGAGAACATCTGCCCACTTAACTGAGTTTTGCCTCCACAGGAAAATAAATTTGTAGGAGGCATACACGGTTTTTTTCCTGGTGCCAAATACCATAATATACTTATACTTTACATGAGAAAGTGTCTTGTCGCTTCTATTTTTAAAATGAGATTCTTTAAAAAGCCCCCTGCCTTAGGAAAATACAAAATATCCCTATCTGTCTATCTCCAAGCTGCCAAGCTGCCGAGCTCTAACGAAATCTCTAGCTTTATGCAGAAACGAACTTAAAAAAAGACAGGCAACTAGTACTTTCTATAATGTTGTTTTTTAGGTGCTCCTGGTGCATTTTCTTTACTCTCTGTTGTATGAACTAGATGGAGGGTTTTTGTTTCTAGCCCTCGTCCCAAATAAATACCACTCTATTAAATAAAACACAATATGTATTTATATAGCTATTTAGATAAGCCCACCTTCGAATAAGACCAACAGGCTCACTTCTCAACAGCTGGCATCTCCTTTGTGGACTTAGTGTGGTTGTCTTTACACAGAGTTAAGGCTCTTCTAAAGAAGAGTGTATTTTTACCCTGAAACTACGGACAGAGAGATTAAGAGCACATCTTCGGGGAATATGTATCATCTAGAAAATGGAAACAGTCACAAGCATAGGTTCTGAGGTTTTAACGTATCGTATCTTCAGCTGTTTTGCTCTCACCCCTGTTATTTCAAGACACTCACTGTGTTCTTTAAAAATGAAGCCATTCATTAACTTTTAAGATAGGTGGAAAGCCCTGCCAATTTATATTTCTGGTTATTCAAAGAAAAGAAGCCATTCCAACCTGACCCAGGTAACATGCATAAAAGCAGTAGTGAGAGGACTATAATTTTTTTAAGGAACCTTTTCCTTGTTCCCACACTTCACAAATGACACAGCACTGTTATCTGCACAGAGTACGGCGGGAGGCTGGGGCTGAGGACGTACAGACTCCTCTTCTGTGATCTAGGTTTGTCTTCCCAGCTAAAGGCCCTCTCGCACAAGCACACACACATCTGGGAGAAACTGCTAAGGCAGGGTCTCTTGACCTACGTTTGGGACCAGATCATTCTTTATTGGGGGTGTATATCCTGTGCATTCACCGTGGATATTCAGCAGCAACCCTGGCCTCTACCTGCTAGATAC